AACTAAAATGAGAACTGAGTGCAATTAAAACTAACCTAATACAGCAAAATGAAACTAAAACTAAAACTGAACAAGATTCTAAGAGTAGACAGTTCAACATCTAATCTACTAAACTTAGTCTATTCATAGGAAAACAAAAATCAAAGTAAAATTAAAATGCAATACAGATCACTCTATCCTAATCTATATATCACCAGAAATCAATCAATAACAGAATTTAGAATTGAAACAAATCAAAAACAGTACCTAAATTCTAAAAACAGTATCACAATAAAAAAACAGAATTGAAGTCATAGGTGAATTGCACATTGAACTGAATAAAAGAGTGCTTAGAGCTCTCAGGAAGACATCCTGATAATATGAATTCCAATACAGGATATTCTAAGTCATATTTCAGAACTTTAAATTGACTCTTTCCACTAATTTTTCCAATCAATGTTCATTAACCTATTCATCAATCTAAAATGCACAAACAAATTCAAGAAACACATATTTGAATCAGTTTTTATGCATTGGACTGTTCTCTGTCTCGAGAAGACATTTCGATGAAGAATGCTCACTACGGAGACATTTAATTCCAAACGGAACCATAGAAGTGCAGAGTTACAGAATCCAAATCATTTTCTCAACACATAACAAGTACAGAAATCAAAAACAAAGAACAAAATCGAGACATAAACAAGAACAGAACAAAAACACAAAACTCAACTTTATTAACATGAAAAGAAAATTTTACAAACTACCGGAAATCACCAAGACTCTCGCGGCCTGTCACCCTCACGATCGTCTCAACGAAATCCAAAAGTCGAGAACTCTACTTCTACTCTAAGAAAAGCGTAAAAACCCTAATCTACAGAGCATCTGAAAATGTATCTCAAAAGTATATGAAGAAGTGTTCTTTCTATCTCCCTTTACATGCAGAAAAACCCCTTTATATAGGGTTGGAGAACGAAAAGAGAAAATGAAAAAAATGGGAAAAGGGGAACCTTGCTTCACTTGGACGCTTCCATCTTCACCCTCCACGTGGCATCTCCGGTCAGCTCCATTTACTCGCGGTCAGCTTCTCCGGGCAGGTTCTTCTCTGATTAAATGACGAGAACACAAGCTTCATGATCTGGGTCACCATCAAGAGCTATTGAAGCTCTCTTTCTCTTGCGCTCTCTGGAACCAAGCCTTAGAGGTTTTCTTTCTTTTCCTCCAAATGAATTTCTCGAGCATTGCAAATGAAAATGAATTTCTAGACCCCTATGGCAGCAGCAGGTCCAGCGCCAAAATGGCCCAATTACTTTGAATCTGTAACCCAATTTTTAGGGCCTTTCTGCAATAAAAAAAAATATGAATTAATGCCCAAAAGAAAAATAAAAGAAATATTTCAGCAATTCAAAAATTAAAAGAAAAGTAAAGAAAAAGATTTTCATTAAAAGATTTTCTCAAAAAAAATATTAATATCCTAATTATTTACAAATACTAAAAATTACATCTAAAAACCTATTTTTAACTAGAATTTTATAAAACTAAAGAATTAAGAGAAAAACACAAAACTAGCCTAATTCTAAGAAATTAAAAACTAAAGAAATCTAAAAAATGATTTTTAACAAAGAAAAATATGTAAATCTAGAGTGTCACATTACTTTCTCGAATGATATGATTCTTCAAGATTTAGTTTAAATCAATAAACTCATTAAGAAATCACAACTATATGTCTAAAAGATTTAGATTTTCAAATAATTGACTCAAAAGAAAAAAAGAAAGAGTTTAAAATAGATTAACTTAAAAACTTGAAAATTGATTATTAGCTTTGCAAATTTTATATAAAAACTTTATGTAATTTTGCTTCTATTTCTCTAAAGGATACCTACACTTAAAAAAGTGTTAATACTTTAGAATTATTGCTTGTGAGACTTTCTTTATATTAGTCAGCTTTACGATCATGAACTTGAATTGTATGCAAAATTGTTTTTCAAAAGTATCTTTTAAAATCTAAATAATAACACTTCAATCAATTTAAGAATAATAAAATTAATTATTTTATCAAATTTTTAAATATTTATATATAAAAAACAGTTAATTATTTTAGTTTGTAATTAATTATCATAAACATAAAATCAATTAAATAAAAAATTTGATTATTTGAAAGTTTTGCAAATACTACTTATACAAATAATTAACTGTCACTTAAAATAATTAGTTAATTCATTCCCGATAAGATTCAAGATTTGTTCGAGAACAAAAACATTATAAGCAATTGTTTTATAACAATATATTAACTATTATTTTTGTTCTTAATATCTCTTATAAAATATGTGCATAGATCAAGTTACATGTATATACGTGAATATAGTACTTATAAAGTGATTATTTTTGGAAAAGACATTTATATTTTGAAGGATTATATGTATTTAATACATTACTATCATAACCAATAACGGATATCAACCAATATTTTGAAGGACCAAAATTTTATTTTTACAATAATATATACAAATTCGAGAAGCTAAATACATAAAATTTAAAAAAAATCATTATATATATATATATATATATATATATTGATTTTGGTCTGTGTAAAAAAAAATTAGACGAAGGCACATGGAAGCTCCGCCTGATCATTACTATTTTTATGATTACCTACTTTAAAATATCATAATAATATAAAATATTATAACCTAAATACTAAATGGGACTATTTCATATGAACCTGAAAACTCCAACTTAGTGGATTACATGTGTCCGGAGAAAGTGAAAGATAGGTGTGAGCAGTTGAGTGGTCAATCGGTTTTGACGGTAGGAGTAAAACTTAAGTTTTCAAATTTCACGCCACTTTTCTACAAGCACCCTTCATCTTCAACCTGAGTTTTCATTCTCTCTTCCTTCTCTCTACAAACCTCCTACTTCTCTCTAAGAAATCTTACTCTTTTCTTCTTTCGATCATCATTCAGACCACGCCTGAGTATTCCTGGTGCCAAGAGCTACGCTTTGCACCGATTAGGTTTTGGGTTTAAGCTGGTAAGTTCATTCCTTCCTCAGCCATGTGGTTTTCTGGCACATGCAAACCAAGTTCTGGTTGCATGGATTGATCACTTTTCTATATGTGTTTCTGATAGTGTTTTGGTCTAGTTTTGTAATCAGTGAATTCTAAAGGTAGAAGAAATTGTAGTGGTGAACTAGTATTCTGCACCTGTGAGCATCAGGTCACGTTTAGAGGTAAGAGAAACTTATATAATTTGATTATGATTCCTGTTTTGAATGGTTGCATGTTTGTTTGAGTGTTGGATGAATATGAAGTATGGTTGTTACTGCATTTTTGGCTGTATGAGTGTATAAATATAAATGATGAGGAACTGGATTGATATAAGGTTTGATCTTAGGTCTGCAGCTCTCTGCGAAATTCTGTTTGTCACCGAAAGTCATTATTGACCGTTCGGTTTCTTTGAGGATTCGGTCTGGACTGGATTCTTCCTTTGGAGAGAATTTCAGTTAATGACCGATCGATTTTCTCTTATTATACATGTAAATAAGTGTTTGGTCTATGATTAGTTTTGTTTAATTTTTATCTCCTAAATCAGTTCAACTCCGATGTTTAGTAACTACTTAGAGTTCTTAAATATAATACTCATCCCTTGTTGGAGTGCTTGCTGGAGGAAGCCTTGGAAGAGGTGAAAGTCAAAGCTGAACCATAGGACCGTTTGGTCTTTAAAAGTGTTTCTATTTTGTAGAACCGTTCGGTCTAGGCTTAGTGTTAGAAAGCGTTCGATCTGGTGTTTCTAGTTATAAAGATTTAAAATTCTGTAGTATGTTGTAAAGCCATTCGGTCATAATCGTACTCCTTAAATACAGAACTGAACTGTAATATTATTAATATGTGATTATTCTATGATTTTAAAATTTATTTTGAGATGTTAGAATATCACTTATCAACTTTTACAATTCCGTTTAGTACTAACTAGTAATAATATAAAATTAAATATCACTGGGTTCCATTTCAATGTATTTATATATATACTATAATTAAACAATTTATTTATTTATGCATGATCGACTTAAAATAAATTTAAATTTATATTTTGTTTTTCTCTTTCAAATAATATCTTTTGATATATTTTGTTGGTGGATTACACAAGTTCTGTTCTTACAATAATTTATTTTTGTCATTCATTTCCACTGTTGTGTGAATTATACTCTCTCCATCCTCGCTTTCTTTTGCATTTATTTTCTACACCGAAACTCGACAACGCAACCATCCAAACACGCCTCCTTAGTTGGGAAATTTCTACCACTAAAATATGCGATACAAAACAAAATGTCTGTAGATCAATGTTCCACTGTGCGAGAATGTCACTAGAAGTTCCGGATCGGAAGAGGGTGATGGATGCGTTGAATGTGAAAAATGTATTTTAGTTTTAAGAAAAACCTAATTATTGCCTAAAACATGAAGAAAATGAAATTAAAAGAAAATGATAATTAATTTCTTAAGAGAAGGGACACGTCCTCGAAAGCCACGTCATCTGTAACACCGAATTTCTTTCAGTCTGGTAGGTAATGAGACTTTTCAATTATCCGGTGAAGGGAAGGGAAGAAAAGAGGAAGTGAGTGTTGCTTGCGTAGTATCCAAGACAAGAACACAATAATTCGCCAAGCCATTTCAATTATCTTTAATTCCGTTTTATTTTATCTCCCGAATTTTTATAATTATTGTTATCATTGGCGTTACAATCTGAAAGTGTGAAGAGCGACGAAGATGGTGGAAGAAAAAGAATCAACATCAATTCCTCTCAGTCAAGGGGATAATGCATCTCGCGATGATCCCGAAGACCCAGCCAAGTCTCCACCAAGCTCCCCCAACTCCTCCACTCGCAGGGTTCATTTCTTTCTTTTTTAAATTTTCCTATATCGCTTTTTACCTTTATATTAGGCTAGGTTGTTGGATCCTGCTTCTCATTGGCGTTTTTTTTTTCTATTAAATTTATTTGGTGGACTTCAACGGACGAGTCAACTGCGAGCCTCGTCTCTTGAATTCGGAAAGAAACCTATATTTACGGATATGATGGTAGAGAATAATTAGAATGATATATAGAAAGACGTTTAAGCCCATAATCTTAGGTATTGTAATCAATCTCGTTACCTACACCAGGGATCTGTATTTGCCGCATTTGACTAGCAATGGATTTTGTTTAAGATGGGTTTTATGTGTAAGAATAAGCCAGTGGCTTTTTGTGAAGACAAGAATAGTTGAATGTCAGCTTTGATCAATTTCCAAGAGTGTGAAGTAGGAGATGCTGATCCTAATTAACGGGGGATAACTCCATTTCTCAAAACATCCTTTTATAAGCCGAATAGTTTTTATTTTGGGTTGAATTTCTTCTTGTGAGATTGTTTTTTTACAAATTTGAGTGAGACCAATACAGTGAGTATGTTCTCTGTAAAGTTCGAACTGTGGTAAGTGTCACCGAGATTTGGTCCTTGGTTTGTTGTCCTAAAATGTCCTTACGTAATGATCCATACCAAAGTCTAAAAATACGAAAAAGTCATAAAAAATTGAGACGTTATCCTAATAATTGAACTGCACTTCCCTGTTGTCCTGCATTATAAATGCTTCATGAGAAGGGCACACGACTTCTGGATGTTGGAATTCTAGACTGATTTAGTGAGCCTAGCTGCAAACATAAACGATCATCTTGTGTTTTTATGATAAGGAGTTCTAAATGTTGAAGATGAAGTTTGAAAGAGCTTAATGATTATCTGATATGCATCTATTTGTTGTGATATGACGTTTCATATTTTTTAAAGAGAAAATTGATTTCTGTCTTACCTATTGGCTCATTCTGTGCACTTGTTTCAGGCTTGCTGCTTTGTTCTCCAGAGTTGGGTCTCAAAGAAATTTATGACTGGATGGTAGACGCAACTACTAATTTAGATGATTGATCTTTATCTTCATTGTTTGTGTTTTGTTATTCTTATTCATTCATTTGGTTTTTGAATCTGCAGTGTAGTTCTTTTTCCAGTTGCTGTTACCTTCTTTGTTACATGGTGGTTTATTCAGTTTGTTGATGGTTTTTTTAGTCCATTATACTCCAGGCTTGGCATTAATATATTTGGTGAGTAATTTATTTTCTCATCAATTAACATGTCTTTGAAAATTATATTTTCTCTCCTTAGAAGTTTAGAATGAGAGGGATTTTTTTTTTGTTTTATGCTTTATATGTGGAACACAGAAACGGAGTACGCGAACGTAGTGCATAAACTAAAAAATTGAAAGAGAATAGACTTCTCTATAATTCTACCAATTGAGAAGGAAGACATCATTGTTTCTTTTGAGAGTTTAGTAGCTAATCTGGAACAACTCATTTGAATTATGCTCTGGTGGTTGAGTGGATATGTTCTTTTCCTCAATCTTGATTCTTTATGGTTTTCTTTCATAAATTTATCTTCCTTCAACGTGCACGCACAAATAAAATGGTGTTGCAGACTTTTACATTTCTTCCTTTCTTTTTTAATATCTCCACTCGATGATCTGAATTCTTGGTACTTGACCTTACTTTTTGTTTACTGTGTGATGTCTAAAATGTGATGGCCTTTTGGTTGTGGTGCAGGACTTGGTTTCATTACATCATTAGCTTTTGTATTTCTTATTGGTGTTTTTGTTTCATCATGGATGGGAGCTACTGTTTTCTGGATTGGAGAATGGTTCATAAAGCGAATGCCCCTTGTTAGGCATATATACTCTGCATCCAAGCAGATTAGCGCTGCAATATCTCCAGGTATGCTCTTCATAACTGCGTAGGTAAGTCAGAATTTAACCAAAAAAGAGTTGTAGTGGTCTTAATTCACAGAGATTAGCAGTATGGAACACGTAGACTGGGTTGCTGGTGATATTACAATTAGGAAGAATAACTTCTTTGTTAGTATCTTTTATGACAAAATGCACAATATTCTTGTTTTTTTGTTCTTACCATTGTTTTTGTGCATGTTGCTGATGGACTTCTTTAATCAAGAAGTCAGTAACCCGAAAGAAACACACAAAATAGACCCACTCCTCTGAATAACCTCTTCTTATTCAATGAAATCAAGAATACAAATGTATTGTAAACACTCCCAAGGAAGCCCGATCTCCCTCCACTGGACTAAGTTCTAGTAAACTCACAAAATACAAATTGAATGATCCCGCCCTTTACAACTAACTCATTATTTATACTCCCCTTTCCCTCTAACTAATTTCTAACCGAAACTCTCTCCTTCCCGCCTTTATTTTTCCTCACATATACTTTTATTCCCCTATCAATACCCCCCTCCATCTCAGCAACCTTGTCCTCAAGGTTGAAATTCGGAAACTGCTGCCTGATGTACATCTCCTCTTCCCAGGTTGCTCCTTCCACTCCTCTCTCTTGCCATTGGACCAAAATTTGAGATACCTCCTCTCCTCTGTAATATTTTTAAAGGTCTATATAATGGACCTTCCACCTGTAATTCCACTAGCAATTCTCCTTCCACTTTATTCTCCCCCACAGCTTTCTTCAATTGTGACACATGAAAGATCGGGTGTATTCTGGCTGTTTCTGGCAGCTGCAATTTAAAAGCCACTGGACCCACTTGTTTTTCAATCAAGAAAGGTCCGTAGTATCGAGCAAATAACTTGGGATGCAGCCTAGTCGGCATAGACACTTGCCTATGGGGTCTAATCTTAAGAAAGACCCAATCCCTTTCTTTTATACTGAACTCCTTCCTCTTTCTATTCGCATACGGCACCATCTGCTCTTGTGCTCTAGTCAGATGATATTGCAGCTGCTTGATAGCTTCATCCCATGTCTGCAAGTCCTGTGCCATCGCTTCTACCAATGTTTCGCCTGGAATAAATCTGGTTAATGCCGGTGGGGGTCTACCATAAACCGTTTCAAAAGGAGTGCATTTCGATGCCCCTTGATAAGTGGTATTATACCATTATTCAGCCCATGGTAACACCATGCTCCAAGCCTTCGGTTGTTCTGAATAGAAACACCGGAGATAGGTTTCCAGTATCCTATTCAGTACCTCAGTCTGACCATCCGTCTCTGGGTGGTATGCGGTGCTCATTCTTAATTTGGTGCCTTGGATTCTAAAAAGCTCCTTCCAAAATGTATTGATAAAAAGGGGATCCCTATCGCTAACAATTGACACTGGTATCCCGTGCAGACGCACCACTTCCCTTACGAAGATTTCTGCAATTACCCTTGCTGTAAGCCGATGCTTTATGGGAATAAAGTGCCCATACTTGCTCAACCTATCCACCATCACCATTATCGTTTCAAACCCCTGAGATTTTGGCAACTTGACCAGAAAATCCATGCTTACTTCTTCCCAGATTGCCTTGGGAATAGGCAATGGCTGCAAAAATCCCTGGGGAGATGATGCCATATATTTGTGTTGTTGGCAGACCAAACAGGAAGCTACATAGTCTGTCACCTTCTTCTTCATACCCGTCCAGTGAAATGCCTGGGCAAGTCTTCTATACGTTCTGTATACCCCGAATGACCCCCTATAGTAGAATCATGGAATTTTGCTACGATCTTTGATATCCACTCAGACTTTGCTGAAATCACCAACCTTCCCTTATAATGTAACCTCTCATTCTCCACTGTGTATGCAGGATGTGAATCGGGATCCTCCTTTATCTCTTCCATTATCTTTTTCAACCCTTCATCCTTCTCCACCTCCTCTATTATCTCTTGAAAATCAGCCCAATATGGTCTGGTTTTCACCTGTAAAGTCTTGTCCCCTTCTCCCCCTTCTTCTTCTTTCCTAAACAACCTGTCAGCCACCCTAGTTGAAGCTCCCATCTTGTAATATATATCAAACTCATATCCCATGAGTTTTGCTAACCAGTTTTGCTGATTTTGGGTCGTTATGCGTTGCTCCAACAAATACTTCAAGCTTTCCTGGTTTGTAAAAACACTGGAACGTCTTCCCAGCAGATAAGGACGCCAGTGTTGAATGGCCAACACCAAGGCCATCAACTCCTTCTTGTAAACTGACTTGCCCAATGAACATTCTGACAACGCCCCTCTGTAATACGCTATGGGACTCTTATTTTGTGACAATACAGCCCCTATTCCCTTCCCGGAAGCATCACACTCCACTTGAAAAGATTGTGAAAAATCTGGCAGAGCCAGAACAAGAGCAGTAGTGACTTCCTTCTTAAGGGCTTGCATGGCTGCCTTACCCATCGCCGTCCACTCAAACTTCCCCTTTTTTAAGAGATCTGTGAGAGGTCTCGCGATCTTCCCATAATCTTTTACAAATCTTCTATAGTAACCGGTGAGTCCTAAGAAACCTCTCAGCTCTTTGATACATCTGGGCGCTGGCCAATCAGTCACCGCTGACACCTTCTCGCCATCCATCTCCACCCCTTTCTCAAATATCATATGGCCCAAATATCGAATCTGCCTCCTGCCAAACTCACACTTTTTCTTATTTGCAAACAGCTTGTGCTGCCTCAGCACCTCTAGCACCTGTCTAAGGTGTTCCTCATGAGCCTCCCACGATTTGCTGTATACCAGGATGTCATCAAAGAAGACCAGCACGTTCTCCCTCAGAAATGGTCTCAACCGACATATCCTGGAAAGTTGTAGGAGCATTCGTGAGGCCGAATGGCATTACTAAGAACTCGTAATGCCCTACATGAGTCCTAAAAGTTATTTTTGTGATATCTTCTTCCTTCATCTGTATCTGGTGGTACCCCGCCTTAAGGTCCACCTTGGAAAAATAAGTTGCTCCATGGAGCTCACCCAGAAGCTCTTCAATCACGGGGATGGGATATTTATTCGGGATAATAACTCTGTTTAAGGCTCTGTAATCTACACAGATACGCCAGCTCCCATCTTTTTTTTTTAACTAAGATAACCGGACTAGAATATGGGCTGTTATTGGGCCTAATAATCCCCAGGCTCAACATTTCTTGCACTTGTCTCTCTATTTCAGCTTTCATTAATGCTTTGTTCATTTGAAGTGATTTGGGAGAGATGATTTGAGTGGATTTGAGGGTAATTTTTTTTGTTGTTTTTTTGAGTGGATTTGAGGATAAAGTTTGTGAGAATTAGTGTAGGATTTGATTGATGTGACAAATTTAAAAAATTAGTTTAATTGATAGAAATTAAAGATTACCAAAATGCCCCTAGTTATTAAAAATAATATAAAATGATAATTGTTAATGTTATATTTAGTTATAAAAGTATTTATAAAGAGTAAAAGTTTTATTTATAATTATATTAATATAAAATTATTTATTTTTAAAAAATAAATAAAATATTTGTAATATATACCTTTTTAAAATATATTTAAATATATATAATTATTCTTCAAATTGATTAACAGTTTATATTCATTATTATAGTTTATAGTCATATAAAAACCGTAAATAATGTTAATATATTGAAGTAAGTTATTTGGTTTAAATAAGATTAGATTATTAAATATAAATGCAATAAAATAAGTTGAAAGATGGAAGTGAAAAAACCTTTCTGCATTCTTTTCCACCGCATAGACCTTATGCTCCTCCACCGCACACCTTCATCCTCTTCTCCATCCCAAACCTCAAGGCCGTCCAGAACAAAATAAGGAAGAAAGATGGTGGCCGATATGACCAATAAATTGAAGGTTTCCGAGAAGGGGGAGAACCTCGACGAAATCGACGGAGAACTTGTCCTTTCCATTGAGAAGTAGCAGGAGATCCAAAACGAGTTGGAAAAGGTACCAATTCTTCAATATCCCACTCGCTTTCCTTCTTCCTCTTTTTTTGTTTTTTCAATATCGCGGATTACGGATCTTCCCTCGTCTTTTTTTGAGGTTTTTATGTGATGTTGGAAATGATGGTGTTGATGAACCTCCACTACCTTCCGTAGCTCACGCACCCTCCGCCAGCTCCACCACGTCCTCCATAACAGCCTCCACCGAAACCTTCTTATTGCCTATGAAGAAGACCGATTCCAATGCTTGTGTTCAGCAAACACAACCACTCACCCCTACCATACCTCTCCACTCCGGATACTCTCATCCAAGGTTGTCAAACTCGAGAGTTTAGGTAAACTCGTGAGAGTCCAGTAAACTCGACTCGTAAACTCGACTCGTAAACTCGACTCGTAAACTCGACTCGTAAACTCGTAAGAGTTTACTTTGTATGAAAAAAATATAAATAACATTCTAATTCAAATAAGATAACAAAATTATATAAATTGAAATACATAAGTTCATAGAAATATTGTTCATAACATAAAGATATAATGTAAAATATAAATTGAAATGTCAAAGTCTCTATGCCTAATCCTCTAATCCTCTAATAATGGCATCATCATCTCCATCATCATCATCATCATCTAACTCTTCCTCTGATGAATGTTGTGCATCTTCATTGTTCTCAAATGTTATGTTATCAAGATCAAGAGCATCTAAAATAGGATCTGTTGTTGCTCCATCTAAGTGAACATTTTCACTATCATTTTCACCTTCAACTTGATCAATCTCAACAACATCATCTGTCTCTTCAGCTATCCATTCATCATCTGATTCTATGTCATCAAATGGAAGAGCTATAGTTTTTCGAATCTGTCTACTTTTCAGCTTGGAGTTATACATCACATAAACTAAATCATTCATCTTTTTTTGATGTAAACGATTCCTTCTCTTTGTATGAACCTAAAATGAAAGATAATATTTTTAGTGAAGATATAAACATAATAAAGGAATTTATAAATTAAAAATAATTTAAATTACCATTTCAAATGAACTCCAA